GAAAGACTCCTTAGGTGGTATATTCTGCAAGGTACGATTCTTTCTGCGTTGTCTTTTCTCCTCGAGAGTGATCCTGCATGCTTTCTCGAAAGCATCAGCAACTTTATAGATAGTGTGTCTCCAGATCTCCCCATTTGAGGCCAGAGTAGACCAGTTATGTTGATCAATATGGTCAAGGCTGAGATGTTGTTTCAGGGAGTCCTTGTATCTTCTCTTCAGGGTTCCTCTCATGCGGCAGCCAGTGGCAGGTTCACCATAAAGCAAGATCTTAGGGAGGCCATAGTCCTTCATCCTTGAGATGTGCCCTGCCCAACGCAGTTGTGTTCTCAGCAACATGGCCTCAATACTTGTAACTGCTGCTTGTTCTAGAACAGTTGTGTTAATCACATAGTCTGACCAGCGGATGTTAAGGATTGTACGGACGCAGCGTTGATGGAAGCGTTCTCGGAGTCGCAGGTGGTGGCGGTAGATGACCCATGATCCAGATCCATATAAGAGAGTAGACAGCACTATGGCTCTGTAAACACTGATCTTGGTACTTTTCTTCAGATGTTTATTTCCCCAAACTCTTTTATGAAGCTTTCTGAAGGCAGTATATGCCTTTGCTAACCTGTTGTCTATCTCTCTGTCAATCTTACCATCCGAGGAGATGAGGCTACCTAGGTAAATAAACTGCTGGACTGATTTGAGCTCTGATTTGCCAATGGTGATAATGGGGATGACGGAAGACTTCCTGAGGTGCAGGTTGATAGAGAACTTCTGTCGTCTTTAAACTGACTTCCAGCCCAAAGAGCTCAGCAGCGTCTGCAAAGCAGGATGTTAAACGCTGCAGAGCTACTTCTGTGTGGGTGACAAGGGCAGCGTTATCAGCATAAAGCAGCTCCCGGACAAGATGGTTTAAGGTCTTAGTGTGGGCCTTCAGTTGCCGTAGGTTGAAAAGGCTCCCATCAGTACGGTATCAAATTTAGATATCGTCCTGATCATCGAGGTCTGCTGTGGCCCTTTGGAACATCATGCTGAAAAAGACTGTGAATAGGGTTGGTGTGAAAACACAGCCTTGTTTCACACCATTAGTTATTAGAAAGGGCTCAGAAAGTGCATTGCCATATCTGATTTGGCCGTGTTGATCCTCATGGAGTGAGATGATCATTTTAAGGAACTTGGGGGGACAATCTAAGTGTTCCAAAATCTGCCATAGACCTTTTCTGCTCATGGTATCGAAAACCTTGGTGAGACCACCAACTGTACCTGAAACAGGCTCCAGGCCTAAAAGAGTTAACTGAGATATCTTGACCTGCTAAGAAACCTCAATACCTGTTTTGCAAGAAGAACATTTTAGGAGCACTGGTTAATATCATGTTCTGTTCTGCTCACTGGACCAAAGGCCTTATTATAGAAAGAATAGGAGTAGTACACACACAGTAATAAATTAGGTGAACTAGATGTCTGAATAAGATCTAGAAGGCCCAGAGCCAGGATTTTGCAAACTTGAAGAATTCAGGTCACCTAATTGAAGAGGTCAAATTGAGGAAGATGTCAATGGTGACCACTAGAGGGATGAAGGTTTGAGCAGAAGACCCCCAAAGTAGAAGACGGCACATGCCTGGAAAGACTCCGCCCAGAGACTAGCCTACTTATTAATATGTATAATAAATGATGTAACCATGTATCAAAGTGTATAAAATGGCTTAATTTTGCACTTGCAAGTCGAGGTGGCTTGCTCCCAACGTTGAATAAACAAATACCTTGCTGCTTAAAGATAAAAGAAAAAGTCTCTGAGCAGTTTCTCGGACCGATTTTTCAGATTCATACCAGAAAGCCAAAGGTTCCAGGCTTTCTTTCCTGGGGATAAGGGTTGTTTTTTGCTTTTTCCAGCCATGGGATCCAACTGCCAGTCCCACTCCCAAAATTGCATATGGACGAAGATTGCTCGCAGACAAAGGGTACCCACCCAGAAACCTCTTACTGTCCACATAGTGCCGAGAGTGGCACACCAACTGCACACGAGAGACGGATGGTCAGGGCTTTCTTTCCTGGGTGGAAGGTCAGTCATTAGGGTTAGAGTTAGGGTTAGGGTTAGAGTAAGGGCTAGAGTTAGGGTTAGAGTTAGGGTTAGGGTTAGAGTTAGGGTTAGGGTTTAGTGTTAGTGTTCAACTTAGGGTTAGTTATGCTTAGGGTTAGCATTAGGGTTTAGAGTTTGGGTTATGGTTAGGTTTAGGGTGAGGGTTAGGGTTAGGGATAAGGTTAGGGATTTGGTTAGGATTAGGCTGTACAATTGCCAGAATTCCATATGGACGAAGATTCCTCCCAGACAAAATGCACCAGTGTGGTGGTGGGAAACAGTTTTCCCCCCTGAAGTTATAAAATGGTAAAACTCCAGGGGGTGGTGACCCTTGAGGTTTTTACCCAATGAGCGCTTTTGCAAAATATAAACATCACAAGCCGAACGGAAGAGAAGGTAGTTGTAGTTGTTGTAGAAGAAGTAGCCATGTTGTAGAGTCATGAGGAGTGAAAGCAGGAGCCCCTCGGGGGGAGGTTCTGGCCCTCCAGCCCCCGGCTGGGGGCTACAGGGACTTGGAACACTGTTAGACTGGGCTAGGTGCCTGTAACTAGAAAGCTGAAAGAAGTTTTCTCCACCGTGAGTGAGCAGCGGCAGAGACAGCAGTGAACAGAGGCTATGGCTGAAAGCCAACAGATAAGAACTGATCTGGAGAAGCAGCAGAAACAAACATGCAGCTGAGCAAGGAAGACACAGAATTGTCTGAGAGAGCCGAGAGAGAGCCAGCAGCAGAGAGAGAATTAGGCTCTACAGAGAGACAGAGGAAGTTGGGAACTGAAATAAAACCCCATACCCCTCTAAGACCTCCCAGAAAGGAGGAGGATGATGGACTCTTACATGAAAGAGTCTTAAAGTGCTACAGCACTTGCAGAAAGGAGCTGAAAAACTCTGAGAAGGAATGCGGAGGGGGTGACCTTGACCCCCCCGCAACTTGAGACAGAGCACAGAGCTCTGCAAAGGGGACTTCAATCCTCTGAAGATACAGACTGTCATGAAGACCCCCGTGCTTCATGGTATGACCGTGGTGACGCGACCGTTGTCTGGGGGAACGCAACCCACAGAAGATAACACCCTCGCTTGAAGATGAGTGACTGAGGGACTTGGATACCCCCTCGTGTGTACTGGCAGAGATCCAGCTACAGCTGCTGCATGAGAAGAAGAGAACTTGCTGCCTTAGAGACATTGCTGCTCTGAGAGTGGAAAAGGATCTTTTCTGCTTCCCTCCTGGACTTTTATTTGGAGGGGAGAAGAGATTTGATCCATTGTAAATACTTATGTCATGGTAGAGATAGCTAAGATTGTATATAATGTATTGTAGCATTTATTTGTACAGTCATTGTAATATATATTCCCTTTCCCCCATTTGAGTCTCGTGTGGTGTCTGGAAAACCCATCTCACACTGGGTTGAGATGTGGGAGGGGGTTTGGACTAGGGAATTGGATTTTGGAGCTCTCAAACCATGACAGCCAGGATAGAAAGTTCTTGCTGCCCATGGAGTGCCCAGGCTGGCCCACCAACTGCACCAGAGAGCCAAAGTTTCCAGGCTATCTTTCCTGGGGATAAGTGTAGAGGATTAGCTAGCAGGACAAGGACATATGGATATAGCTAAAGCTATGGACGAGCTGTTAGAGTATAGAACACAGCTTGTCTAGGCCGATGAGAAAATCTGAGATGGCAAGGCTACAGTGCCCTTGTACGTGCTAGTTGGCTGGTAAACAGGACGCTGTGATTAGCAAAACAAAAGCAACTGAGAGCCACCTTTGTCAACAGAAGAAGGGAGTAAAAGTGGAATCAACATTTAAGCAAGAACCAATAATGAGCTTAACTTTGCAATATGTATGAGCTAATTATAAAGCATATATTAAGCTGTTAGCAGTGATCAATAAACGAAGTTTGCTGATTCTCATATTGAGCGTCTCTCTCTTCCCTCGCCGCGACAATAAGGGCTGTTGTTTGCTTTTTCCAGCCCTGCACTCCAACTGGCAGTCCCATTCTCAAAATTGCGTACGGATGAAGATTCCTCGCAGACAAAAGGTGCCCACCCTAACCCAGGGTTAGGGTTTTGACATAGGGTTAGGTTTAGGGTGAGGTTTAGAGTTAGTTAGGGTTAGGGTTAGTGTTAGGGATAGGGTTAGGGTTACGATTAGAGTTTAGTGTTGGGGTTCAGCTTAGGGTTACTTATGGTTAAGGTTAGTTATGGTTAGAGGTAGTGTTAGGGTTTAAGGTTTGGATTATGGTTAGGTTTAGGGTGAGGGTTAGGGTTAGGGATAGAGTTAGGGATTTGGTTAGGGTTAGGTTGTCCTATTGCCAGAATTCCATACGGATGAAGATTCATCCCAGACAAAATGTGCCAGGATAGAAAGCTCTTGCTGGCAATGGAGTGCCCAGGCTGGCCCACCAACTGTACCAGAGAGCCAAAGTTTCCAGGCTTTCTTTCCTGGGGATAAGGGTTTTTGTTTTCTTTTTCCAGCCCTGTCCTCCAACTGCCAGTCCCACTCCCTAAATTGCATATGGACGAATATTCCTCCCAGACAAAAGGTGCCAGGACAGAAAGCTCTTGCTCTCCACGTAGTGCCGAAAGTGGTGCACAAACTACACACGAGAGACAGAGGGTCAGGGCTTTCTTTCCTGGATGGTAGATCAGTCGTTGGGGTTAGGGATAGGGTTAGGATTAGGATTAGTGTTAGGGTTATGGTTAGATCTTAGGGTTAGGGTTTGGCTTAGGGTTAGTTCTGGTTAGGTTTAGCATTAGGGTTTACGGTTTGGAATTGGATTTTGGAGTTCTCAAAGCATGACAGCCAGGATGGAAAGCTCTTGCTGCCCTTGGAGTGCCTAGGTGGCCCACCAACTGCACCAGAGCGCCAAAGGTTCCAGGCTTTCTTTCCTGGGGATAAGGGCTGTTGTTTGCCTTTTTCAACCGTGCGCTCCAACCGCCAGTCTGTGGGGTGAAGTCACAGCCCCACAAATAAAGTTTGAAGGATTTGGAGTGTTGCAGAGTGTTGGGCCATTTCCCGTGAGAGTAGTGGAGCTAAGTAGATAGTTCCCATGGACACAGCCTTGAGCTGTGTGACTGAGTGCAGGTGCAGCATTCCTGGATGTTGTTGTAAGAATATGTTTGTGTTGTGTGTGAGAAAGTAGAAGTAGGAGAACCTAATAAAAGGCTGCCTGCTGCTCTGAGCAGGCAGACATCCCTTTGTCTCATCATCCTTGGGTGTGTTGAGTGTCTTCTTTCCCCCTTGGACCGGGACCCTTCGACAGATACCCAGCGACAATGGTGCCCCATGTGAACCAGAAGAAAAGAAAAAAGACTGTCGACTATTGCCTGGGTCGTAGGGGTATCGCGACCGGAGGCAGGTGAGAGCTGCAGGGCAAGGTGCAGCAGGGTCTCGGTACTCAGGAGCTGAATAGCGGTGGGCGTGCTGCAGGACCCGGGTCCGATCGTTTTCTACACCTGCAGACAAGTGTTTCTGCCGCACTTGAGGCACAAGTTGACTGGGAAGCCTGGGGGCATCTGGCACTTGGTAGGGCGCAGGTGAGCTCCTGGGCACTTCTTCCTAGTCACCATGGGGGCAGACCACGTGTGCAAACGACAGGCGTGTGTTTATCGCCTGGAAAACTTCGTTACGGCGTTTTGGTGTTAGACCGACGAAGCTAAGTTATGTCGCTTGTTACTTTTGTGTCTTCGGACTGAGAGAAAAGCTGCTTTACCTGGGAGGACATCAGAGTACTAAAGAAGAGGGGCCGGGCGGAGCCGAACGGAGCCGAAGCGGGATCGGAGGTTGCGGAGCGGGGCCGGGACCAGCCGAGCGGCCCCGCCAAAATGGACGCACTGCTAGCGACTCGGCAGCACTTGTCCGAGATAACCAAGGACAGCTACGGCATGAATGTGCTGCTGATGGCCCGGGAGACGATCTTGTGACCATAGTGGCTGAATTCCACCTTAAGGAGCTTTCTACGTCTCCTCCGGACGGTGCCGTGCCTGTGTACCCGGCGCCGGGTGCCTGCGCAACCGTGTCTGGTCCGCCCGCTGTGGGTACCTGCGGAGCGGCGCCGGGTCCGGCTTCGGCGACGCTGAGTCCATCTATGCCCGCGCGGGCAGCGGCAGTCGTGCTGCGGCCCCAGCGGCCGCGGCCCTGGGTGCCAGCAGACTGGTAGCAGCTGCGGTCCCAGGCGCCGGCTCTGGCCAGAGCGGCCCCGGCCCCGGCTCGGAGCGGTACACCCACACATGCACCGGCGGCGCCCGTTCGGCCGCGGGCCGCGGCGCGGCGGACGGCGGGGGGGTCTGTTTTCCCCCGCGCTGCCGACAACCATGGTCCCGAGCGGTGTTGCGGGGGGGTAGCGGGCTGGTAGTGGCGACCGCGGTGTCAGGCGGTGCACTGGGGGGGCTGTCTGTGTTCTCCCCTGTTTTACACCGCCCCCCCCCGAGCTTCCCCCCCTCCCTTCCTCCTCCCCGGAACGTGTCCATCTGCAGCCGTTCCTTCCCTCCTGTGTATCATTCTTTCTCAGCAGACCATGTAGATAACTTGCGACATAAGGAGAGCAAAGGCAATTTGACTTCTCTTCCTGATTTTTCTCCGAAAGACCCAACCTCTATTCCCCCTCCTCCCCCTCCCTCCCTCCCTCTACCCCGTCCTCCGAGAAGTGCTAGTGAAAGCTCCCTTAGCGAAGCAACACTTGCTTTCAGGGGGACCGAGTGCTCAAGAGAAACAGGAGACGCAGGGGGGGCAGCGGGCGGGAAGAGGTGGAGAAGGGAGGACAAAATGCAGCAGTAGTTCTGTTGCTGTTATGACAAATAGAGTGTCCTTGCTCTATGAAAAATGTTGAAAATTTTCAAGGTAACATCCTGTCCGTTCCCGTCGTATTTGTCTTTTGCATGGGGAACTGTATAAGATTTACAAGTTAATATTAGCAAATATGCCTTAAATTCCCTTTAAGTTACGAGACTGATGAGAACTACACAACCAATAACTGCTTGAAATCTGTGTGTGACTGAGGAGAGTGTTTGAGGTGGCCACCTAAATGCATGATTGGAAAAAGACTGTGTGAAAGAGAAAAGCTACATGAATGTGTAACTGTGTAAACTTACAAATACTTTCTGCCGGTGTCAAGATTTTACAGGGATGTGTAACATGATTCTGTTGAACCATAGTGACTCCTTATTCTAAATGGTATATGAATTCTTCAGGTTCCCACCATGAGTAATTCCACTCTTATGAAAACTGGTGAGGTTTTAGTTATTTCAAGACTAGCCCTGTCTGACTGGCCGTGTGATTGGGACTGAAGTTAAATAAGACATTCTTACATAAATTTGGTGTTCTATTTCAACCTTGTTTCAGAGGTTTATAGAGGTTAAATCTCAGGTGGAGCCTTTCCCCTGGTGCTGTTCCCTTTTCATGTGTCGTGCTGCCCATGGGCTGTGGCTGTGTGGGCTATGCAGGAGGCAGAGTCGTTTGAGCTTTTCTGTGTTTTCCAGGGTTATCGATGTTGCTGCCCTGCTTGATCAGCCCGTTGTGGGGGACCCTGCAGACTGTCAGGGCCGTCTTGCGTCCTTTCTCAGAATCATCGACAGCGCTACAGATAGTGTGTCTCAGGGCCTCCTGATTGGAGACCAGAGTACACTAGTTATGTTGATCAGTGTGACCAGGGCTGCGACGTCATTTCAGGGAGTCCTTGTGTCTTCTTTTCGGGGCTTCTTTCATGCGGCAGCTGGTGGCAATATTCATTGTGGAACAGCTAGTCCTTCATCCTTGGGACGTGCCCTGCCTGTGGCAGCTGTGTTTTCAGAAAAATGTCCTCAATGCTTGTGACTACTGCTTGTTCTATACCAGATGTATTGATCACATAGTCTGACTGGTGGATGTTTAGCATTGTACGAAGGCAGCGTGGGTTAAGTGCCTTGTTAATCAACCATTCTAGTAGCACAATTGTGAGATTTTGGGATTTTTTGTTCATGTTGCAGTCATTGATGCTAACTGTATGAGGCAGATTTGTGCTATGGTCTCCACACCTTATCCTCCAGTGACAATTCCTAAAGGGACACGAATAGCTCAACTTGTATCTTTTCTGAGTTGTGTTCCTCAAGCAGAACCTCGTGAGCGTCGGGATGGAGGATTTGATTCCACTGATGCACCACAAGTCTTTTGGTCAGTGCCGATCTCTGCACAACGTCCACAGCTGACCTGCACTCTCTACGATATTTGAAACTTGCTGTTAGTTGTCCAAGCGGACGAACTTCTGCATTCGGGACCTGATGTAACTATCATTGCACGGACATCCTGGCCGGCCTCCTGGCCTGTGGTCACGCCAGGGGTTTGGGTTGTGAGACTAGGAGGTACTGCTCAGAATTTTCTTTTAGAATATATAGATCCTGTGTGATTTCAGCAGTGGCTCATACCTACAGAACAACTGCTGACGCTGCAACGGTTTGTTAAAGACCAGCTTGATGTTGATCACATTGAACCATTTCAGAATCCTTTAATCACCCCTGTCTTTGTGATAAAGAAAAAATCTGTGAGACGAAGGCTGTTGTATGATCTCAGACGGGTGGTGCGGTCATGGTTACCATGTCAGCATTGGTTTATTGACCCCTTCTATGCTTTCTGCTGAATAACCCATTGTTATTATTAATTTGACAGGTTGGGTTTTTTTCACAATCCAGTTAGACCCCAGTTATAGAGAAGAAAAAATCACATTTTCAGTTCCATCTATTGATCGTGCAGAACCTTACAAGTGTTATACATAGAAAGCCCTCTCCCAGGAAATGAAAATATTCCTATAATTTGTCGGTGGTTTATGATTCCAACATTGTCTCCTGTAATTTTCTGACTGTCTTTTGTTGTCATTATATAGGTAATATTTCTGCTGGCTGTGGCCACTGAGGATCAGTTGGGTGTGTTGGAAGCTGAAACCAGAAAGAGTCTACAATCCTTTGACCTACTAGTTGCTCCTGAGAAGGTGCAGCGAGAGGAACCTTGGAAGTATTTAGGGTTCAAAATTACACGGAAAACAGTTATTCCTCAGCCAGTTCAATTGGATATTAATGTCAAAACTCTACCTGACATACCAAAGTTGTTAGGGTCTTTGAATTGGATTAGGTCCTATTTGGAGATGGCAAACACCCAGCTGGCACCTCTATTTGACCTACTCAAACATTCTGACTATCCTCGGAAACCAAGGGAACTGACTAAAAGAGCAGTTCAAACCATCCAGCAAGTAGAGCAGGTTTTATATTCTAAATTTGTTTCACGAATTGATCATTGCTAAATTGTCTAATTTTTTATTTTTGCAGATCACAGTGTTCCTTTTGGGGCATTGGTACAGTGGTTTGACCATTGGTCTGATCTACTGCACATCACAGAGTGGCTATTTTTTGCCTTATCGGGCTCAAAAAAACTGCTCCTGGATTGTTTGAGCTCATAGCTCAAATCATTATTGAGGTTGGAAAAAGGTGTGTAGAGTGTCCTGGCAGAAATCCAGCACGCATTGTTGTACCTGTACAATCTCGTTACTTTCAGTGGTGCCTTGAAAACAAATGTGACTTGCAAACTGCTTTAACTGGGTTCCACAGCCAAATTTCTTATCATTTACCTTCACATTCCCTTCTTCAGATTTTTTTTTTAGGGAAATTCCAATTGGACAAAAACACTATGCAACGCAGAACCCCTCGATGGCCTTACAGTCTTTGCAGACAGCTCGAGGAAGACAAGTGAAGCTGCGGTAGCATGGAAAGTAGAATGTGGATGATGACATCAAATTGTTCATCAAGAGGGTTCTCCTCAAGTTGTGGAACTTCAAACTGTAACTCTTGCTTTTCAGTTATTTCCTAATCAGCCTTTAAATGTTATTACTGATTCTGCATATGTTGTTAATTTATTACAGCAACTCTATCAGGCAGTGTTGCGTTGTCCATCTCCAGGTCTTATTTTTCAAGTTTTGTTCGAACTCTAGAGAACTCTTTTGCAGAGACCTGTTCCTTATTTTGTGCTACATGTTTGTAGTCATACCTCTTTGCCAGGTTTCTTCACAGAGGGTAATGCCTGGGCAGATGCTTTTGTTTTTGCTGTCACTTTGAGACTTTTTCCTAACATTCACCAGCAAACTGTCTTGTCTCGTTAGTTTGTTTGTTTTTTTTTTGTTATTATCAAGGTGCAGAAGCTTTCAGACGTCGATTTGACTTGACTCATTCTATTGCTTGATAATTGTTGCCTCCTGTCCAGACTGTCATGATGCCTATACTGTTGTCCAGAGTGTCATAATGCCTATACTTCTGTCTATTTTGGTACTAACCCTCGAGACCTTAAGGCCTTACAGATGTGGCAATCGGATGACACTCATGTCAATGAATTTGGTAATTTAAAGCATGTCCATATGTCCACTGACATGTTTTCCCATGTGGTGGTTGCTAATGCACATACTAGACAAAAAAACCATGATGTCATTCAACACTTCCGTTGTGCTTTTGCTACATCTGGAGTACCCGCTCAAGTGTGGATTAACAATAAGCTGTCTTGTGTCTGTAGGTCTGTCAAAAATTTCTTTGTTTTGTAGAGGGTCACTCATGTTACGGCTATTTCACATTCTTCTGCAGGACACGTTATTGTGGAGAGAGTGCTTCAAAACAGAGAGGGGGAATGAGGGGATAACCCCCTCAGTCTCTAGGCTAGACAAAACTCTGCATGTCTCAAACCTTTTGACCTTCTCTGGCGATTGTCTTTATTTACCTTCTTTTAGAGTTTCAGGAAAAATATGCTGTGCTTGGCAAAAAACCTCCTCCAAACTGATAATCTTATGATTCCTGTGAGAGCTGAGGACAGAGCACAGCATGCAGATGCAGAACTTGTCTCTGGTCAATGGTCTGATCCACATGACTTGATAACTTGGGGAAAGGGATATGTTTGTCTCTACAGATAATAGTCCTTGCTGAATACCTGCGCAGTATGTACGTCCTGCTGTTGGTCCTGGAAGTCGTCAGTGCAATTCCTGACCTGTCAAAGTTCACTCCATGGCATAGTCGGAACGTCTGGGTGACTCTAATGAAGGAACTGAATCACATGACCTCTTGTGCATCACTGGCGTATCCAGAGCAACCATTTCACACCGGTCTTGTTGGTGTTCCTCTGGGTGACATGGAAGCATCTCTCCTGGTGCAGGATGTCATCCGACGGCGTGACTTATTGAAACGGGACTGTCATACTGTGCGCGGGTGTCGTGATCATGTTGATAGCTGGGATGATGTATTGTCTGTTAACACTCCACTCAAAAGTTAGGTATTTTAGAGTCACTGTTTGTAAAAGACTGTGTGTATTTTAATCATCGTGTAGGTTATGACATAGAAAGAGCACGTGGTGAGTCTATGGTACGGGATGTGTTCCCTGAATCGTCTTTCTATAGAAATAGTTGCTTCTGGTGTCGGTAAGAATCCGACTTGGAGTACTCCGGCAGTGAGTGCACCTTTTCGATTCCCTACGGGAGTGTTTCTTCTGTGTGAAGATAGAATCTAACCAGGAATCCCTGCACAGCCATTAGGGGGACCTTGTACATCTAAAAAGTTGGTGGTTGTAGTTGTGTTGCTGATGCTGCCTTGTTTAGTATCGCTCCTGCAAAGGGCCCTGCAGGATGTGATGCGGGCGGTCTTTGTGGCACAATTACAGACGGGGGAATTGTGGGGTGAAGTCACAACCCCACAAATGAAGTTTGAAGGATTTGGAGTGTTGCAGAGTGTTGGACCATTTCCTGTGAGAGCAGTGGAACTAAGTAGATAGTTCCCATGGACACAACCTTGAGCTGTGTGGCTGAGTGCAGGTGCCACATTCCTGGATGTTGTTGTAAGAATATGTTTGTGTTGTGTGTGAGAAAGTAGAAGTAGGAGAACCTAATAAAAGGCTACCTGCTACTCTGAGCAGGCAGACATCCCTTTGTCTCATCATCCTTGGGTGTGTTGAGTGTCTTCTTCCCCCCTTGGACTTGGACCCTTCGACAGATACCCAGCGACACCAGTCCCACTCTCAAAATTGCATATGGACGAAGATTCCTCCCAGACAAAAGGTGCCCATCCAGAAACCTCTTACTGTCTACATAGTACTGAGAATGGCGCACCAACTGCACGCGAGAAACGAGGGTCAGGGCTTTCTTTCCTGGGTGGCAACTCAGTCGTTAGGGTTAGGGTTAGGGTTTTGTCATTGGGTTAGGGTTAGGGTTAGGGTGTTACCATCTGCTTAAATATTGCCGAAAGGACTTTCAGATTCGAATATTCACTTGATCAAAATTAAAACTCATACAAGTTTTCTGTTGATACCAAAACTGTTTTTATTAATTGCTAAGAGATGCAAAGAGGAAAAAATAAGAAAAGGTTCTAAAATGCTAAGATTACTTTTAGAAGCAGAGAAAAGATACCACCAAAAACTACCTTTCCGTTGAAACTGGTCTGTGGGGTGGGGGGGAGGGAGAGAGAAACAGTTTTCTGCCCTTTTTTTCTCTGTCTCTGCCCGCTTTGGATGTTATCTCTTTAACCACAGGGGGTCTTTTACAGCTTTAGTTCTCTGGAATGCAACCAGGATGTGGGCTTCGCCACTCACACCCGACCATGTCCCAGGCCGTGCAGAGGTCCCGGTCCAGCTGCACCTCTCGGCCCTCAGAAATATGGTCAGGGTGGAGAAACTCATGCAGGTGGCATGGTGGGTCTCAGTCCACTTCAAGACAGCAGAGGTCCAGTCTCTGGTGACGGAAGGCAGCATACGGTGGCAGAAGAAAAGGTGAGGGCGAGACGGGGGAGAGATTCTCAGCTGCTATAGCCAGTTCTCTTTCCCACTCCTCTTTCCCTACTTTTCCCAAATTTCTCCTCAACTTTTATAGTGTTCAAAGGAGGTTGTGTGTGGTTTCTTGGCACGTAGCCCTATTCAGATGTTTGAAGAGATATGATAACCATGAACAATAACAGGATCCTTTGGCAGGAAAACTCCAGTGGGAAAATTCTGGTGAGAACTTCTGGTGGAAAACTGACACAGAATTTTTGGTAGGAAGTTTTTTGACAGGCAGAAACAATGGCAAAACATAATTTTTGGCATTTGTATGTTAACTGTCTGTTACATGCCACCCCATGGTTCGACGTTGTTTCTCGGGACATCGAGGTAGTTTTCTTCAGTGGTGGTAATACGAATATAGCGAACAGAGGGGGAGAAAGAAACAAGCAAGCGGTCTATCATGCATTTAACTAGGCCAATGCCAATAATTAGGAACAAAATTCCAATGACAATTACTATTCCAATTTGTGCTATCCATTTTCCCCATCCAGTGAGTCCAAAGGACTCTAGGATGTTAGTAACCCATGTTCCAACTTCTTGCGGGTGCATTGCATAAAACAAATTTCTAGTGTGGTTACTTATTTCTCTCGTTGTTCGTACCTCCTGAATGGAGGTCAAAGCATTATAAATTGTTACACAGCATTCGGTTTCTGATAAATTTAACATTCCACAAACCTTGTTCTTTTAACAGTAATGTATCTAATGCTAATCTGTTTTGCAATGTCATCTTAGTAACTTGCTGGACTTGAGTGTTTAATTCTCCAAATGCATGTTGTGTCCAATTGCTTAAAACACTTAATTGCCAGGTAATATCTTCTAATACAAATTGGTGTCTTTTTAAGGTGACATAGGGGGTAAAGAAATTCTCAAGAAAAAGGGATACTTTTTACCCGGTGGTGTAATAATCTGGAAAATCAACTCCTTTAATTGCCCCTTCTGGCCTTTGTGTTGCTTTTGAAGAGGGAATAATACTGCGATGATGACAACGTTCTTTAGACCCTTTAGTGAAAGTAAAGACACGTCTGGGGCAAAGAGAGGGAATTCCAGGTCCACACCTAAGTCCAGCATGCTACTCTAATGACAAATGTGAATAAAACTTTCCATCAGAGCATCCCCAAGCCATTCCCAGAGGGGCTATATATTTTGCAGTTTTACAGTCAGTATTGTCTGCATGATCAAGGATGGTGATTTTTGGTTTAGTATTTATTGGAGTACCATGGATTGGGTAGTGGGTGTAGGGAACTCCACAGGGATTAAGAAGATATATGTAGGTTGAGTTACAGGATTCATCCTGATTTCTCCAGCCTTTAGAAGGGTATCTCCAACAAGTACACATATCTCTTATCAAAGTTCTAATTCTGAGTGAAAACCATGTTTCTGGAGGATCTCCTGGTCCTTCTTTGCATGTTATAACCTTTGAGCAATTGAATAAAGGACTTTCTTCTACCTGAGGCATGGTAAATTTGGGTTCTGTAAATTTGGATTCAAAAAATACTTGTACAGACCATGCCCACATTAAGTTTTCCCAGTTAATTGGAGTTATATTTGTTACATTAGGAAGTTGTACACACCAGGAAGGACTAAAAACTGTGGCATATTTACTTTTGTATACATCTGGTGAGTATAATGGGTCAAAGAGTGGATCCCATGTGTAAATAAGGCAGGGTTGTCTAGCATTATATTCCTCAAAGGTTATCATTCCAGGTTTAAATTCACCTTTACTTGATGTAATAGATGGGTGAGGGGATTCAATTTGAGATAAGATGGTTATATTTACCTTTGGACGTATTGTTTTACAATATTTGGTGTGTGACATCCAGTCTTGAGTCATATTAGGAGGTGAGGTGTAAGTTTGGTAAAGACCATGCACTATAGGGATACCTTTTCAGTGTATTTGGACTCCGTTGTTCTTGTTGGTCCACTTTTCGGGTAGGGGCAATGGGGCTGTCACACTAGCCATGTTAAAACCAAAAGATAAATTCAAAGGTATCATAAAAAATCGCAATCTTTGTTCAGCAGACTCGGGTAAAGTTACACATATACCCTGATCGGTATGATTCCATATTTTTGCAAACCCTTTGACTAGTTCCCAGGCAAGGTTCCTTTGATTTTCACTTTTAACAGTCTGTTCTGCTGAGCACATGTACAAGGTAAGTAACCATACAAACATAACTAACAAATTATAACTACAGTTACCAGTAAACTGAACCATAGTCCAAATCTGAGATTATTCATTCACAGTTCTGAATACTTTTCTCTGTTGGGCGGTTACCTGTAAAAGAAAAGAAAAAGGTCTGTCTGGCCCCTTTTAGGGCCAAATATTAAAATGTAGGAACAATCCACCGAGAGCTTATTTTGTGTTCTTTACCATAAGCATCTTTTGCTTTCCAGGTGTATATGTTCAAGGGAGTGGTGAGTACCATTGGTACAGCTCCTATAGAAGGTAGTTCCACTAATACAGGTTGTCCAGGAAGGTGAGAGGGTTTTTGATTACTCTCAGGTTTTGATGTTGCTGGTATCAGAGAGGGAGGCTGTGGATAAAAAACTGTGAGTCTGGGACAGCCATTTACTCCTGTCATTCACCATTTTTACAGCATCCCAAAGTTGCTCAGTCCAGTTGGATTTCTGAGGTTTTAGAAATCGTTTAAGCAGACCATTTGTTCTTTCCACTATGCCATTTGCTTGTGGATAATATGGTGTGTGAAATATCCACTGGATTCCTTCTTCCTTGGCCCACTCCTGGATGATGGCAGCTGTGAAGTCTGACCTGTTATCTGATTGGATAGATACAGGTTTGGGGAAAAAACTGAACCACATTTTAAGAGCTTCTAGAGTGTTTGTACTGGTTGCTCGAGGGAAAGCTTCTGCTTGCACTAATCCTGACCTGACTTCCACTCCCACTAACACATACTGTTTTCCCTCAGACTTTCAAAAGAGTCCAATATAGTCTATCTGCCATGTGTCCCACAACCCTTTTCTGTCTCTGATATGTAACGGGGGTTGTTCTAGAGGGTGACACTCGAGTCGAGTTCTGCACTGTTCACATGAGGATATGCAGGTGCGGCACATCTCTCGAGTTACTGGTCATCCCCTGCTTCCTGCTTCTCTGTATAGGTCTTGTCCTCCTGTGTGCTGTCTCTTTAAATGCAACCACTCTAACAATCTGTTCCAGTTCTCTGTGGGAGTTTTTACACTTAGAGGGGCTAATCTGGTCAATTCATCTACTTTGTTGTTCCAGTGGCTAGCGGGACTTTCATTTTCTTGATGAGAGGCTACCCATCCAACTAAAAAATTCCCTTTCTTTACTATAGCAAGAATTTCTTGCCATTTCTCTTTTTACCAAACAGGGACTCTATTCACTTCCCAGTCATTTTTGTCCCAGAAGGGGAGCCACTCAGTACACCCTTTGAACACAGCAAAAGAATCAGTGTAGACATATATAGAGTCAGAGGTTTCGGCTTCATGATTAAATACACTCCAAACTGCTACTAATTCTCCTACCTGTGCACTGCCTTCTCCTTCAGTTATTATTTTGTCTCCTGTATGTACCTGTAAAACTACAGCACGATATTTCCAAACTTTACCTTCCCGTTTAGCTGAGGCATCAGTAAACCACGCATTTTGCATTACGATGTCGGTAGTCTACCATTAGCCTCCAATTACCATTTGGCTTACGGACAGGTCGCATAGGAGAATTGTAAGGAGAATGTGTTGCAATCACTATTACTTTTTCTTTTAAATCTCCAATAACTGGAGTGATTCCTTCCCTTGCTCCCAAGGATAAGGGGTAAGGTTTGACATTGGTTACTAGGGAGGGAGGAAGAGCAGGGGCAGGACTTAGTAAACACAGATGTGGGATTTCTTTTCCAAAAACCCATATGTTTCCTTCCTCATCAGTCCAAGACCTTCCCTTCAGGAGGTCTAGTCCCAGTAAATTGGTAGGAAGTTTACCCAAAATCATTAGGGTTTCAACTGCTTTCTCCTCCCCTGGTAACCAGCATCTTACCTTTGCTGTTATCTGGGGTTGTATGTTCCCGAAAGCATCCACAACAAATATGCCTTTACGTGAGGGAGTGATTCCACATGCAGATGCATCTTCAATTTTCAGGGCAGATACCTGAGCGCCAGTGTCTATTAAAAAAGTCACGGGGTTTTGTGGGGACCAATAGGAAAGGTTATTAACAAATCTCCTTTGGAATTTTTGGTAAACCGTCTAATGTAAAACCAACCTTCATCCCCCCGCTTACCTACCGAGGACGAAGAGAGGAGTTTCCCGTCACCTCCCCTTGCTGTGATCCCTCCCCTTTCTGTGACCCCTCCAGGGAAGGGGTTGTAGCTGGGACAGCTTTCAGGGATCCCTCTTTTATTGACCATTCTTGAATTAATATCTCTAATTTTTCTGTGGGTTGGCCATCCATTAGGGATTTTGGGATTCCTTTTTGCAAACCCACAATCCAGAGGGCATTCCTTTTTTCCCTGTATCCCCCAGTGTTAGTGGGTCCTCCTTGTCCAGAGGAGAATGTTACCTTTTGGAGTCTTGCTGGAGTACTTTTGCATTCGGTGCGCAGAATTGATTTTGTATCAATAGTAATTGGGGGTACCGGACCATATTTTCTTCCATAATTAATTAATTCCTGTGCCACTTCTCCCCAGGTCCAAATCTTATTTTCTCCACGGTAAAGACTGGGGGTTAAAGTTGCTTCTAAAGTGGCTGCAGTTCTTTCCCCTTTGGTGAGGCTTTCTATTTGTCTTCTTAGTTGAATGCCAATGGGCTTCATAGCCTCAGGGAGTCCCCTGATAAGGGGAATCATTCTTTCAGGGTCTATAGGCAACATCATAGGGGATTCACGTCTTGGTGCTAATTCCCTATCATACATCATTTGTAAACAAGCAGCCTTTTGAACACTTTCTACAATCTGATTAACATTTCCCACTATAGCCAGAGGATCTCCCCTTTCTAAGGGGTTGAGTCCTCCAGCCCAATAGGCTGTTCTTTGGGTAAGGGACCAGGGTGCATGGTTATCTCCTGTGGTCAGGAAAACTCCGGCTCCCCAAAATCCTTCAACCTCTTTCTGATAACAAAATTTGGTCATCCCCAGTAAGAGAGACTCTCCAAACATACTCAGTCTCAGATTCTTTAGGGCTTCTGCTATATTCCTTTTTCAACTTAGCTAATTCAGTTGCTGTATAAGGGACTTCTTTTATAGTTATTTGAGGTGTATCGTCATCCGAGCCCTCATATGTGTATTCTGTTTTAATTAGGGGACAGAGAGACACCGACAGCTTTTCCACTTGATCACGCAAAGGTTTTAAGTCAGAGAGGGGGTATATTTCTTTAGATGACTCCAACTCTGACTCCCTTTTTCCTTCTCTCATTAATCTTGCATACAACTCCTCTTGGAGCACATGGGCTGTAGCCCTTTCATTCCTTATCTCTTCCCGGAGGACAGTGACAGTAGCCTTTCTTTCCTCCAACTGCATCTGCAAAGACTTAACTGAGTCTTGCAGTGAGTTAACCACTTTCATGTGAGCTTTTTGCTGCTGTTCTTTGTTGTTAATTGCAGTTATTGCAACTGCACCTAATATTGAACAAATGATAGGTTTTCCTTTACCTTTTCTCGCCCCTGCCTGCAGGGTAGAGATTCGATCAACAATCGCTTGAATATTACACCAATTATCTTGTGCCCATTCCATTCCTGGAGGAGATGACCTGGCACCAAATTCATCTAACAGATTAGTAAGAGCTTGCACATTATGTTCCATGTTACCACAAATTTGGAGTAAATATGTCCCCAGCGGGTTCCTCTTAAAAGTTACAGCAAATTTCCAAAGTTCTTCACTCCTCTCCCTGGAAAGACCCCTCTTAAAAAGTTACCTTACAAATTCGGAGCGATCTTCTCCAGAGAGCCCCTCTTAAAAGTTTCAGCAAATTTCCCAAAGTCTCGCTCCTTCCTCTGGAGAGTTACCTGTTAAAAAAGTTACGTTACAACCAAAACCGAGGTGAACTTATCTGGGGGGTCCCTCGTAAAAGTTAATTTCCAAAGTTTCACCCCTTTCTCCCCAGAAAGCACAAAGTTACAATGTGCACATTAACTTCAAAATCAAAACAAAACAATGAAAAAAACTGAAAAATAACTTGTAAAGTCAAAAGTCTTTAAGTCACACAGTCATAAAGTCAAAAAAAAAGAAAGGAAGAGAAAAGAAGGTAAGGGAGGTAGGTAAGGAAAGTAGGTAAGATAGGTAGGTAAGGTAGGTAGGTAAGGTACCTTACTCTGATTGTCTTATCACAGAATGATCGATCATAAAAATTAGCAATTATCAGGTTTTGGAATGAACAGTTTTACTTAAGAGAATCCTGTCCATGACTCCAATCAAGAAATGTTACGATCTGCTTAAATATTGCAGAAAGAACTTTTAGATTCGAATATTCCCTTGAGCAAAATTAAAACTCATACAAGTTATCTGTTGATACCAAAACTGTTTTTATTAATTTCTAAGAGATGCAAAGAGAAAGAGGAAAAAATAAGAAAAGGTTGGAAAATGCTAAGATTATTTTTAGAAGCAGAGAAAAAGATACCACCAAAACTACCTTTTCATCAGAGCTGGTCTTTAGGGGGGGGGGGGCGGGGAGAGAGAAACCGTTTTTGCCCTTTTTTTTTCTCAGGTCTCTGCTGCCTTCGATGTTATCTCTTTAGATGCAGGGGGTCTTAGTTCTCTGGAATGCAGCCAGGATGTGGCTTCACTGCTCACACCAACCGTGTCCCAGGCCATGCAGAGGTCTCGGTCTGCACCTCTCGGCCCTCAGAAATATGGTCAGGGTGGAAAAAACTCACGCAGGTAGCACGGTGGGTCTCAGTCCACTTCAAGATGGCAGAAGTCCAGTCTCTGGTGACGACAGGCAGCTTACGGTGGCAGAAGAAAAGGTGAGGGCGAGGTGGAGAAGAGATCTTTAGCTGCTATAGCCAGTTCTCTCCTACTCCTCTTTCCCTGTTTTTCCCAAATTTCTCTTCATCTTTTATAGTATTCAAAGGAGGTTGTGTGTGGTTTCTTGGCACGTAACCCTATTCAGATGTTCACAGAGATATGATAACCATGAACAATACCAGGATCTTTTGGCAGGAAAACTCCAATGGGAAAATCCTGGTGAGAACTTCTGGTGGAAAACTGACACAGAATTTTTGGTAGGAAGCTTTTGACAGGCAGAAACAATGGCGAAACATAATTTTTGGCATTTGTATGTTATCTGTCTGTTACAAAAGACCATCTCAATTCTTGTTCCATAGGGCTCAGGCCATCAAACTTTGGGCACATTTCACAGGCACCATGGACATATACTGGAAATTTCCTGCAGGAATTTCACTGCAGGGACTGACAGGATGGTTTGAAGAAGTCCATTCCTAACAGTTAGGATTTAATATAGCTAAAATTCTGACTTAGAGACAGCAGGATAAAAGTAAAGTCCTGTCTCGTGGACCACCCTCCGGGATAACAACCCCCTTTGTACCTCCCTGGGGTAACAACCCCCTACAGAACCCAAACAGCTCCCGGGCATGGGTGACCCTGAGCCCCAGGGACCCCCCAGATCCACTTCCCACACCCCAGGGACTCCCAAACCCTGGTGTGGGTCCCCCCACATGGGACACCTCCCCCGCTCTCACCCACCTCCCCTGAGCCCATGGATGCTTCCGCCCTGCCCCTCAGGCACCCTCAGGGGGTTCCAAGGGAAAAAAACCACAAAAACATCCAAAGAAAACTAAAATGAAAAAACCCAATGCTCACCTCTCCCCAAAAGAATCATGGCTAGGCTTCGCGAATGAAGATTTGGGGAGGGCACTACCCACATTTGTTAAAAGCGCTTTGGTGGCTAAAAAGGCCAATACAGGATAGGCACATCCAGTTGCAAAAGGCACAGCAGAAAGACTCCTTAGGTGGTATATTCTGCAAGGCACGATTCTTTCTTCATTGTCTTTTCTCCTCAAGAGTGACCCTGCAGGCTTTCTCAAAAGCATCAACAGCGTTAAAGATAGTGTGTCTCCAGAACTCCTGGTTCGAGACCAGAGTAGACCAGTTATGTTGATCAATATGACCAAAGCTGAGATGTTGTTTCAGGGAGTCCTTGTATCTTCTCTTTGGGGCTCCTCTCTTGTGGCAGTCGGTGGTAAGTTCACCATAAAGCAAGATCTTAGGGAGATGGTGGTCCTTCATCCTTGAGACGTGTCCTGCTCAGGGCAGCTGTGTTCTCAGCAACATGGCCTCAATACTTGTGATTGCTACTTGTTCTAGAACAGACGTATTAGTCACATAATCTGACCAGTGAATGTTTAGGATTGTATGGAGGCAGCGTTGATGGAAGCGTTCTCGGAGTCACAGGTGGTGGCGGTATATGACCCATGATTCAGATCCATATAAAAGAGTTGACAGAATAATGGCTCTGTAAAGTACTGATCTTTGAACTTTTCTTCACGTGTTTATTTGGCCAAACTCTTTTATGAAGCTTTCCGAAGGCACTATATGCCTTTGCTTACCTGTTGTCTATCTCTCTGTCAATCTTACCATCCGAGGAGATGAGGCTACCTAGGTAATTAAACTGCTGGACTGATTTGACCTCTTATTCACCAATGGTGATATGGGGAAGACGGAAGACTTCCCGAGGTGCTGGTTGATAGAGAACTTCTCTCTTCTTTAAGCTGACTTCCAACCCAAAGAGCTCAGTAGCATCTGCAAAGCAGGATGTTAAACGCTGCAGAGCTACTTCTGTGTGGGCAACAAGGACGGCGTCATCAGCATAAAGCAGCTCCCGGACAAGATGGTTTAAGGTCTTAGTGTGGGCCTTCAGACACCTTAGGTTGAATAGACTTCCATCAGTACGATATCAAATGTAGATACCATCCTGATCATCGAGGTCTGCCGTGGCCCTTTCAAGCATCATGCTGAAAAAGACTGCGAATAGGGTTGGTGCAAGAACGCAACCTTGTTTCACACCATTAGTTATTAGAAAGGGCTCAGAAAGGGCACTGCTGTATCTGACTTGGCCATGCTGATCCTCATGGAGTGAGATGATCATTTTAAGGAACTTGGGGGGACAACCTAAGCGTTCCAAAATCTGCCATAGACCTTTTCTGCTCACATTATTGAAAGTCTTGGTGAGATCAACAAAGGTTACATAGAGACCTTTGTTCTGTTTCCTACACTTCTCTTGCAGTTATCTGAGAACAAATACCATATCTGTGGTACTCCTGTTGGCTCTGAAACCACACTGACTTTCAGGTAGAATTCCTTCTGCTATAGCAGGTATTAGTCTGTTCAAGAGTATTCTTGCCAGGATTTTGCCAGCAATGGAGAAGAGTAATACTATGGTAATTTGAACAGTCTGATTTAATTCCTTTCTTCTTATACAAAGTGATGATGACTGCATCATGAAGGTCTGATGGTAGTTCGCCGAGTTCCCAACAAACTCGTGAAATTTAGCATGGAGTGCAAGGCCCCCATGTTTCCAGACTTCAGGTGGAATTCCATCAACCCCAACTGCCTTGCCAATTTTCACCTGCTGTATGGCCTTAAGGGTTTCTCCTAAAGGGCAGTATCCAATTCGTACTTCACCGGTTGTTGTGAGATGGACTGAATTGCTGAGTCTTGGACTACACGGTTGGTACTGAAAAGAGTCTGAAAGTGTTCAGACCATTGATTCAGAATGACGGTTTTATCTGTCAGAAGCATTTGACCATCTGCGCTGAGTAGAGGGCTTTGGACCTGGTATGTATGTCCGTATGCTGTTTTCAGGACCTCATAGAATCCTCTGTGATCACCCCTATCTGTGCATAATTGAGTTTTTTCAGCTAGATTGATCTACCACTTGTTCTGTATGTCTCAGAGTTTCTGTTGGAACTTACTCCATGCAAGATGAAAGGTTGCTTTTCTTATGTGACAGGATGGCAGTGCAAGGTGTGCTTGGTGAGCGGTTCTCTTCTTCCTCAACAATTCCTGCTTCTCTTGATTGTTTTCATCCAACCAGTCCTTGTTCTTGAAGGAGAACCCTAAGTATTCTTCAGAGGACTGCAGGATGCTGTTTTTAATATGGTTCCAAAGTGTTTCAGGAGAGGCATCTATAGAATCTATGGAATGGTTTTCAAGCCTAGTTTGAAGATTTGCCTGTGTCTCACTGTAGCTGATTGGAGATTGTTAACTTGGAGTCTCCTCCTTGGGATACTGCCCCTTTTAGGTTTGAATTTAAGATTGAGGTTAAGTTTACAGTGCACAAGTCGGTGGTCTGTTTGGCATTCTGCACTAGGCATCACGTGGGTATGGTGGACATCGCAGACATCTCTCCGTCGCACCAAGACATAATTGATGATGTGCCAATGCTTAGATCTAGGATGCATACAGGTTGTCTTCAGACTATTTTTCTGCTGAAAGATAGTATTAGTGATGGCGAGCTGTTGCTCCGCGCAGAATTCTAGTAGAAGTCGACCATTATCATTGCAGTTTCCAACACCATGCTTGCCTAATATTCCTTTCCATGCTTCAAAATTCTTTCCTACTCTGGCGTTGAAATCGCCAAGGATAATGATCTTATCATCTGCAGGAACCTTTTGGGTAAGACGGTGCAGGTTGGTGTAAAATTTATCTTTTTTAACAGGGTCAACTTGGACAGTTGGGGCATATATACTAAAGAGGACAACGTGTTGCTTGTTGTTTAGTGGAAGGCGTAGGGAGATAATGCGGTCAGAATGACCTGTCGGCAGATTTTTGAGTTTAGGAACAATAGAGTTTTTGATCATGAAGCCAACTCCTGAGAGATGCTTTTCAGTTCTGGGTTTACCTGACCAAAAGAGTGTGTAATCGGCACCATGTTCTCTAAGGTTGCCTTCCTCGTGGATGCGAACTTCACTGAGACCAGCTATGTCAATGTTGAGACATGATAGTTCATGGTCAATTAGGGTAGAGCGATGCTCAGGACATCCACTATCTGCAGTATCAAGCATGGTTCTGATGTTCCAGCATGTTAATTTGGGTACACCTTTGGAGGCAGGTGTATGCCTTTGTCTTTTGATCTTTATGTGACCGCATTAGTGTAAGATGCCCGTTGACCGCAGTTAACCAACCGGGTGAAGGGGGAGATGAGCTTTGGTTAGGCCACCTTTTCTAGGCCCCTCTCTGAGTGGAGCAAGCAGTGCTGTCCTTGAAAAGGCTACTTGGTCATTCAGGGTGCTGCCCAAAGAGACTGTCATCTCTGGTCAGTCTCTAACAACCAATATCCTGAACCTCCTGCATGCAGGGTTGGGTCTGCGGCTTCCAGTGCACCTTTCACCTGCCGTTTCGACCCTCTCCCATCGCTACAGGGTTTTGCAAATGTGGATAAGGCCTTCGAGCCTGTGCAATGGATTTTTTAGGTGAGACGCAGCATGCGCGAAACTGAACCCACCCTTTAATCTTAAGGTTCATCTGCCAGGACCTAGTGAACTTGGATGCTGTCAGCGAGGGCCTCAGGATGTAGGTTTAATTAGAGTGACCTTCTCTTAGATGGATGGGCTTACAGGGCTAAACGAGCTCCATCTGTCTGGGTTTGGAGTTAGAGTTGTCCTTCTCCTAGGATGACTGCCAGAAGGCTAACATGCTCATCCTGCCCAAGGATATATTGTATCACGCCCTGCGTTTTCTACCTGTCTGACATGGGCGACCCTACCGAAGGCATGTGCCATCGTCAGCATAGCTCGCAACCGCATAGGGATACACAGGCTTCATTCCCATTAAAACGATTAAGGCAAGTCTTTCACTTCCTACTTTTCTGCCACTTATCTATATTCAATTCCAAGGAAATACCCAGGAACAACCCTTTGTCCTGACCACCCTTTCAGGATGCAACAAATATATCCAGAACATACCAAACCTGGACGGTAACTGCAGATGCGCCAAAAACAAACAAACCATTCCAGCCCCCGTACCCACCTGGGGCTTGGGTACCTTTCAAGACCCCAGCCCGGCCAAGACCCCCATCACTCCAAAAGAACCCACTATCCACCCTGACCTTATCCTCCACCCACTGTGTTACCACATATCTTCAGGCACACTGCTCACCTGCAACATTTCATACAGGGTTGCCCTGCCCACCCTCCCACCAGTCCAAGGACCCCCACAACCCATCCGACACCCTTCCCCTCCCCCAAACTGGACCGGCAAACCTCTGTGTGCTCTGAAGCTCCCCTCTCCTCTCCCAGGAGGGCGCAGTACCTGCCGGCAAGACTCTTCCTCTCTCCTTTCTCCTGCCAGGGCCAGGGTGGGGGGCAACCGGGGCTGTGCGGCTTCCAGGGTCTCTGGGGCCAGCAGTTGTACTGCAGCTTCCGGGGTCTCTGGGGCCAGCGGTTGCAACAATAAAATCAATGCCAAAGTACAATTTCTTTATGGATACCCATTTTCCAAGAAATCGAAGTTTTACATTACTCTGGTTTTGTTCTACAATTTTGTTAATGTTCTAGTGTTCAGGCTTGTAACTCTTACTTAATTAATTTATTTTAGTTATAGTTAATAGTTAATGAAGACTTTAATGCATAATCTATGTGATGACTAATAATATTTTGTAGCAGACAGTGCATGTCAAAGCTAGACTTCTAGTAAACTATATTAATACTTGTAATTTAAAAATTAAAAGGACTATACCTAGTCTTTGAAGAAAGATATGAAAATAAAAGAAATACTACTTTTTCCCCCTATATTCTGTATACTGCTACTTGACATCCTTTCTTCTATTATTTCCTATACTTCTATTTCTAACTTTCTATGCTTTCTGTCTATCCTAACTACCACCGATCTATCTACTTGGATATGTATTTCAAG